AGAGCCGATATGTGCACAGTGTCTAGATGTTTCCAGGTCCATAGTCAGTTCTCAGTCATAGATGGTACACCGTGGGCTTTATCTCCCTTCCCTGTTGCCGTGCGGTAATAATGGTGGAAGGAAATCATCGTTTCCCATTATCTGTAGCCTAGAAATAGGGAGATACATTCAGCAGGAGAGTCTCACATGCAGATGGCATGTGAATGCTTGTACGACCTCACATTGTGTATTCTCTGGAAAGAGTGGGCAAAGGTAAGAACCAGTGGTAACCAAATCGAGGAAAAGAGGAAGAGGAGGGCATTAAACAATTAATAGCCTGTCTAGTAAAAGAGAAAAAGTCTGTGTAAAGTTTAATTGCTCCTGTAGTTTAAACAAGACACTGTAATAGAGGACACTCTTCCTTCAGAGAGAGAAGCTGGCAGCTGAGGGCTTTTGTTTCCTTAGGGAGGAGAACTGTGTGTTCAGTAAATGAGAAATTTGGTTATGAAAGAATTTTGAAAGAATATGAGCCCCAAGCATCACTTCAGGAAAAGCTGTTACCAAAGACCATTGGTATCGCTCTTGGATTTGTCTTGGGTCATTTCCTGTTTAAGGAAGCCACATTCAACAACTTATCTGCGTTTGGGGTCATGGGAATGAGTCAGGGATGTGAGAAGAGGGGATGGAGAGTGCAATGTGGCCTTTAGGATTCCTTCTAATGTGTTGAACGTTATACGTGATATCAGAACAATTCAGACAGATATCTTGTTTCAGAGGCAAATTAGCAAAAGTGTGAAGCTGCTGATCATTCATTCTGCAGAAACTTTGAGGAGGAAGGAAATTTGAGTAGTAGTAGACTCATCATTTAAGAAAGAAAATTGTAATATATAAGCAAATGGTACCTCTTGCAGATGTGCTTTAAGACTTGTAAAAATTAACTTTTTAATTGTAAAAATAACCCATGCCCATTGCCTAGTGGTGCTTAGTGTATGTTAGCCTTCAGAGTAGCAAACTGTTTAATTTTTTTTAAATGGCTTAATTTCTATTTTAATTATTGAGGTTAATACATATTGTGCTTTCTATCTTCATCACACCTGTTGCACACGAGGAACCAGGAACCGTCGTGTGGCTTCAGGCAAATTACTTCCTTTCTATGCCTTGTTTTCCTCTCTGCCTCTTTTGAATCGATTTCTAATTCTAAGGCTTCTCTGAATGGATTCCCTCCTAGCTCCTCAAACCTGTGGCCTTCTCCTTTGTATCATCAGGGTGCTTACTTTGCCACTAGATGGCACTAATGTACCTTTGAACCCAGTCACCTCTGGGTTTTCAGAATCTTGGGTGTGAAGAAGCCTTGGAATTTTTGCTTGATCAAATCCCCATTTAACAGTTGGGTGACTGAGACTCAGAGGTTAAGTTACTCAGAGTCTCTTGAATCCCACTCACCCGTCTTCCCCTCTATTCCACTGTTTCTGTAGGGGGCTTTGTGAGGGAAACTCAGAGAGAAACTTCTCAACCATTCTTGTTCTTTGTTAATTATTTTAAAAATATTTTTAGGGGCGCCTGGGTGGCTCAGTTGGTTAAGCGACTGCCTTCAGCTCAGGTCATGATCCCAGGGTCCTGGGATCGAGTCCCGCATCAGGCTCCCTGCTCTGCGGGGAGCCTGCTTCTCCCTCTCCCACTCCCCCTGCTTGTGTTCCCTCTCTCGCTGTGTCTCTGTCAAATAAATAAATAAAATCTTTAAAAAAAAAAAAATTTTTAAACCATTCTTTAAGTTCATATACCATCACATTCAAAATAAGTAGTTGGCTTCCTTTTGTGTTTCTGTATTGGCTCCCTCAGAGAAAAAAGCTAGACTGTCAGCTTCTAAAGATCATTGCCCTACCAGTAACTAGCCTGCCTTTACAGTTTGCCCTGGAATGAGCCCTACAGGTATCTCAGCCAGCCTCTCTGTCAGACGATCATCTTTCTCCATTCTTGCCCAGGCCCTTTAATAAGAGGTTTGCCTTTCAGCTCGTCCCTCCAACTAAATATGGTTGTCCATTCTTGTGCTTCATCTGTGTCCACTTTCCTAACTGAGAGAGCTTTGGGGGGGGGGGGTAGATACGCTCCAGTTCTTAAAAAATTGATCTCCTGGGTTTTCCCAGCCCATGTTGACTGTGTTCTTTTATTCCTCTCTCGCTGTATTGGTGGCAAGGATGGTATTGCCATAAATCTTGGCTGTATGTGGGCAGAGTGGTACAGTGGGAGGCATTGTGGCATGTGGAGAAATCGTGGGCTCTGCAGTCCCATTGCCTAGGTCAGGTTTCTCCTCTATCGCTGATGTCCTCTGTGACCCCTCATCATCTCTCTGATGAGGGTGATATTTACTACCTTGCGAGGCTCTTGTGAGGAAGAAATGAGGTAATGTGTGGAAAGCTCCTGGTATCCATTCTTGGCATACATAGTCCATGCTCGTTAAGTGCTCACATTCTGACTGCTGTTGTATATAGTGGAATAGGAGAGACTAGAGCACATGAAAGGTAGGAGCCTAAGGGAGGGTCTCAGCCAGAGGAGCTAGATTTTTTTTAAGATTTTATTTTTAAGTGATCTCTATACCCAACGTGGGGCTCAAAGTCACAACCCCAAGATTAAGAGTCGCACGCTCCACTGACCGAGTTAGCCACATGTCCCAAGGAGCTAGATCTTTACTGAAGAAAGAAGGGAGGGAGGGATGCAAGGTATGCTGGGGTCGATGTCAATGTTCTGGAGAAACAGTGTAGAACTGTGCTGCCCAGTAAGGTGGCCGCTAACCAGTATGGCAGTTGAACACACGTGAAATGTGGCTGAAGTCAAAATTGAGATGTGCCGTAAGTGCAGGCTACATAGCAGATTTCAAAGACTTGGTATGAAAGCAATAAATATAAAATATTTCAATAATTCTGTATACTGATAGCATGTTCCAATGAGACTGTCTGGATTTGTAGAGTTAAATAAAATGTCACTAAAATTAATTTCACCTGTCCCTTTTTACTTTTTAAATATGGCTTCTAGAAAATGTAATGAGGCTAACATTATATCCCCACGTTGACTGGAAGGTAGAGGTCTTTGGTATTCAAGCATATACAATTTTAATTTGGGGAATCATCTGAGAAGTTTTTCTGAGGCTTTTGATTTTTTCTTTTATGGTGTTCTGTTCTTAAGAGCATGACCTGAATCAAGACGCTGGTCACTATTGGTAGTAATAGTTTAGGTAATAGTTTAAAATGAGAAAAGTAAGAGGTACCAAATGTTCTCCTTAGTCCTCCAAATTCTGAGGACCTCAACGGAAAAGCAAGGTATGAATGCATTATTTATGGCTTAGTGGGTCAGTTACAAGCAATTAGAAGATCTTAGAGTTTGTTTTTTTAAAAGCCATTTCATGGGGCGGGCGCCTGGGTGGCTCAGTCGTTGGGCGTCTGCCTTCAGCTCAGGTCATGATCCCAGGATCCTGGGATCGAGCTCCACATCGGGCTCCATGCTCGGCGGGAAGCCTGCTTCTCCCTCTCCCACTCCCCCTGCTTGTGTTCCCTCTCTCGCTGTGTCTCTCTCTGTCAAATAAATAAAATCTTCAAAATAAATAAATAAATAAAAAGCCATTTCATGATTTCAAAGAATAGGGTGTGTGCAAAAGTCATCTCCTATGTAATTAAATCTTATCAACAGATGGAATCCACTAGCAGTTAACGTTCCTAGAATTTTCCTTCAGATGCAAATTATTAAAACAACAACACAAATGACCAAGAGTAAAAAAAAGAGAGAGAGAACCATAATACTATATATCAAATTAAGTCATCTGCCTGATTTCCATTAAATTTATTTTCGTTTTAAGACACTGGTTACAAAACATTGACTTGTTTCAAAACCTTAAAGGTAAATAGTAATCTCATCACCTGCTTGTTTTAGAGCTATGAGTAATTGCTAATTTTAGACATTTGTAACCTTTGTCTTTACAGGTGGATTGAAAAATAAAGCTCGCTATTTACATCTTGAATTTACACTTGCTTTTTCTTTTTTTTAATAACAACACATGTGAAGTAGTTTTGTGGGAAGTTGGTTTGCAGAGAGTAAGCACGACACATGCATTTTAAGAACTTTGAGGGCAGTTGTCATTGTTCTTGCTTTAGTCCCAGGATGAGGTATCCCTCCTTCTAAGTAAACGTGTGATCACAGTTCATTGGATATAAGATGCCATCAGTTGTAACAGGCACATTTATTTTAAGTGCCACCTTGTATAAAAAATAAAATGCCTCCAATAAACTCTGGCAAGCAGTCAGATCTATTTCTGAGATGTTAAATGGTGAAAAAAAATGTGTACCTTGTATCTGATGAAATATGACACACAGATGTTGAAACTTGCACCTTGGTTAGAAGTTAGAGAACTTGGGTCGCCTGGGTGGCTCAGTCTTTAAGCGTCTGCCTTCCGCTCAGGTCATGATCCCAGGGTCCTGGGATCGAGCCCTACATCGGGCTCCCTGCTCCGCGGGAAGCCTGCTTCTCCCTCTCCCACTCCCCCTGCTTGGGTTCCCTCTCTCAGTGTGTCTCTCTCTGTCGAATAAATAAAATCTTCAAAAAAAAAAAAAAAGAGAGAACTTGTTTTATATATCGTTTATAGGTTAGCATCAGACTTTAGGCCAGCTCAGAATGTATCATCAGTGAGTGTGGTTTGGTCTCTCAATTCTGTAAATAATTGACAGAAGGAAGATGTAATGAGGTCATTTTTCAGTTGCTGGTAGTCCCTTGATTCAAAAAAGTGAACTTCTAACTTTGCTTCAACCTGATTATCTCTAGCATCTCCCCCCTCCCCCCAAACACACACCCAGCCCCTTTTCAGCAGGTACCTACCCCTCTAACAAAATCTGTTCTCCATAAAGGCTCCTGATAGCAGTTATTTATAGCCTCTTGTGAATTCAAGGCAAAGTGTTAAATTGCCCAAGGATGTTTGCTTTCTAAGCCTTATCTCTAATTATCGGCTAAAAATCTTTATCTGCTTAAAAACCATTCAGGCCTCAACTAGCCATATGGATCAAGTTTTGTGGAAATGGCTGGGGGAGGAGGGTGCCTGGGCCGCTTCCTGCGCTGCCTCTGCGGAAGGATCCGGACAGATAACAGAGCACCTCACTTCCTTTCCCACCCTGAAGGGTGCCACCAAACCTGTCCTCCGGCTCTCTGCCTTTGTCGTGGGAGTCAGCGAGCAAGTCAGCTGCATTCTCTTGCCCTTAGTAAGTGTATCAGAAAGGAAAGCAAACTTGACTCCCAACAGCTGGTTTTCTGACTGATTTCATTGAATTTTTATCAGCTTTATCTTCCTTTTGATAGAGGCTATTGAATTTTAAGGAAACACTGTGATATGAAGAATTCTGTTGTAATTTCAATAGCTACTTCCTAATTCACCTGTTTGTTTTTTTCTAAATCTCCCTGCTAACACATCTTACTGACTCAAATCAGGCTTTTCATTTTGAACGGCTATTTGGTAATCCAGATTCTCAGCCTGCTTTCTCCAAATTATTTTCAGGCATGCCTAACCAGAGTTGCTCATGGTTAAACTGAAGAATTGTTTGTGGTCTAACTTAAAGATGAAAGCGAGAGTTTTTCTTCTTCTCAAATTTGTCATACATTTATCAGTTGTGATTTTGCTGATACTTTGCATACTTTGACATAGTTGATACTCAGTCAAAAGGTTAGATTAATCCCACATTCACAGCTCTGGATAGCATTCATGGTGTTTGGCTAACACAAAGAATGGTCTTTCTCCGCAGAAGATGGGCAGGGATACTGCACGTGCTTTTGGTGTTGTATTAGCTTTGAAAATTATATGAAAAAATTCGTCTCTACCACTCAATTTCCTACATGGAAACGAATGTAAAGTGTAAAATAAATATCCTATAGTTGTCTCTATGTGTTTGTTGTCTCTATGTGTTTGAATGACTTTGACCTTTTGTCTTTGCAGCTGGGGGTGTGGTTTTCTCTTGGCTGTGCCTATTTGGCCTTGGAAGACTACGGAGGTTCTGCGAAGGCATTTCAGCGTTGTGTGACTCTAGAACCCGACGTGAGTTTGTTCGGTCTGCTTTCCTTCTCACAGCTCTTTGATATTCTCTAAGTTACTTGGATTGTACTGTAGTTCAGAACAGCAATCCTATGGGTATAGAGTTTCAGTTATACAAGATGAGTAAGTTCTAGAGATTTGCTGTACAACATGGAGCCTGTGGTTAACAGTACTGTGTTGTGTACTTAAAAATTTGTAGAGAGGCTAGATCTCATGTTAAGTATTCTTCTCTCAAAAACAAAACAAAACAGATAAAAGGCAAAAAATTCCAATTTTCTATTATTTTATGTTAAAATAAAAGAACAGCAGTTCCTTTTGCATTGGAAGAAAGTATACCTTTGACAGAAGGTCACACCTTAAGGTAAATGATTTATAAATCTAGAAAGAAGTTTCTTCTTATAATAGCTAAGTTATTCATGGAAATAATTTTGATACAACAGTTTTTTAGTTAAAATTATACTTAACTGAAGTACATAGCAAAATGTCATCTGTTTTGTCATTCAGTAACGTGTGCTGCCTATGCTAATTGCCTTCTTAAAAAGTTCTTTTTATTTATAGTCTTTTAATATTTAATAGTTTTACTGAGATGATAAATAATTCACATCCCATAGAGTTCCTCTATTTAAAGGGTACAATTCAGTGATTTCTTAGTATATTCAGAATTGTGCAACCATCACCACAATCAATTTTAAGAACATTTTATTGTCATAAAAAGAACCCCCTTGTACTCATTAGCAGTCACTGCTCATTTCTTCCAAACACCTTCCACTCCCCACCCTCCACCTCCTGCCCCAGGCAACCACTAATGTATGTTCTGTCTCTAGATTTGCCTATTCTGGACATTTCATATAAATGGAATCATACGCTATGTGGTCTTTTGTGGCTTGTTTCACTTAGATCAATGTTTTCACAGTTCATCCATGTTGTTGCCATGTATCAGTACTTCGTTCCTTTTTATGGTCAAATAATATTATTTTATGTGGGCGTATCACACGTTACTTATTTGTCCATCAGTTGATGGACATTTGGATTGTTTCTTTTTGGCTATCATGAATTAGATTGCTGTGTACAGTCATTTACAAGTTTTTGTGTGGACATACATTTCTATTTCTCTTGGGTATGTACCTACTAGTACAGTTACTGGGTATGGTAGCTCTGTGTTCAAAATTCTGAGAAACTGCCAGACTGTTTTTCTAAATCACCATTTTACATCCCCACCAGCAAATGTGTGGGGTTTCCAGTTTCTCAACATCTTTGCCAGCACTTGTGATTACCTTTCTTGTTGATTCGAGTCATCCGAGGAGGTGGCATCTTGTGGTGGTTTCGTTTTCCATTGCCCTGTTGGCTAGTGATGTTGAGCATCTTTCCATGTGCTTATTGGCCATTTGTGTCCCATCTTTGGAGAAATGTTTATTGACATCCTTTGCCCATTTTTAAATTGGTTTAGTTGTCTTTTATGTTGAGTTGTAGGAGTTTCTTTATACATCCTAGATAGAAGTCCTCATGTGGATATATGATTTGAAAATTTTTTCTCCCATTCTGTAAATTGTTTTTCACTTTTGAAAGTGTCTTTGAAGTACCACATTTTTTAGTTTTGATGAGGTCCAGCTTACCTGTTTTTTCTTTTGTTGCTCATGTCTTTGGTGTCATATCTAAGAATCCATTGCCAGATTTAAGGTCATGAAGATTTACCCCTGTCTTTTCTTCTAAGAGTTTTATTGTTTTAGCTCTTACATTTATGTCCAATCTGCTGTTAAATCTATTCATTAAACTCATCACACTACATGTGGTGGCGGATGTTGACTAAACTTACTATGGTGATCATTTCATAGTATATACATATATTAAATCATTATGTTGTACACCTGAAAATAATCTAATATTCTTTCTCACTTTAAAAAATTTACACATCATTTCAGATAATGTAATTTCTTTAGTTCAAAAACTTTCATTTGGTCCTTTTTTATAGTTTTCATGTTTCTACTGAGATTCCCAAGTTGTTCCCTTATTATGTTCATGTTTTCTTCATATCTTTGTTTGTATTTATAACAACTGTTTTCAAGTTCTTGTATCTTGTTCCAACATCTCTTTCATTTCTGTGTCTGTCTCTATTAACTAATTTTTTCTTTGGTTATGGATGAATTTTCTTGTTCGTTTGCATGTCTACCAATATTTTTTTATTGTATCCTACACATCGTGGATGCCGTGTTGTTGAGTTTCTGGGCTTTGTTTTCCCTTAAGGAAGATAGAGCTTTATTTTGGCATTAGGCTGATTTACTCGTGGATCAGTTTTATTTTAAACTTTGTTAGGGTGGGTCCTGCATTGTCCTTATTCTAGGGATGTAATCACCCTTCTTTTAAGGTATAAGCTTTTGGTAGTTGCACTTAATACCATTTGTGAACAATAAGAGTTCTCCACTCTGGTTGGTTGGAACTTGACTAGCTCTTAGCATTGTGTGACCTCCAGAATTTCCATTCAGCTCACGGCTTTCTGGTAGTTGTTCTCTGCCTGGCCTCAAGAAGTTTTGTCCTGTACATGTATAGCTTAATATTCAGCCAAGGGCTTAAGGAGATGCTTATTGAGGTTTCCCCGAGCTTATTCTCTGCACAGATCTCACTTCCCTGTTTTTTTGCCCTGCAAGTTCTGGCCAACTTTTGAGCCCTGAACTCTCATCTCTTTCTTAATCCCAGTAAGACTTGCTGCTTCATTTGGTTTCTACCTCTCTGTGCTGAGCCCTGAAAGTGCCTCTAGATGGAAGTGTAGGTTGATTGTTGAGACATCTCAGTTTACCTTCTTTTGAGGGTCACAGCCCCATGCTGTTTGTTGTCTGACTTTTCAAAAACAGTTCCCTATATTTTGTCCAGTTTGTAGCTTTTTATGGTAATAAGCCTAGTCTAATACTAACTGTGCTATGTCTGCAAGCAGAGGTCCATTGCCACTTACTTTTTAAAACGTGCATATGAACTTGAAAACTGTATACTCTCTATTTTATAAAGAGCTGAACAAAAAGGAACAAACATAATTCATATCAACATTTATGTAATGACTTAAATTTATTTTGTCATGCATAGAGGAATAGGTAGAGAAATACGTTTGATTGATGAAATACGTAGAAATAACACTGGAGAACGCATACTCCTTTCTTCTCCTGTCTGATGAAGGATGATGGTAAAATAGCAAAGGCTTTTAAAATATGAAAAACAGTATTCTGCATCACCTTGGATTTGTAATAAATCTATATATTGTATAAATTGTATTGCAGATTGTCCAGTTACTTTGGAAATCTAAATTTGGGAATAAAATCTTAGCTAAATTCCAGATTAGGACTATAATAGTTATGTCAGTTTGTTGACTATTTTTGTTTTAAATTATGAAAGTTAAATTTAATTTATTTAATTTTCTCATATACCTTGAACATACCTTATTGAAAATTGTGATTGGAAGGAGCACCTCCTGCACTAGAAAATATGTTATACTTTGGGTTGTAGCGATTATTTTACCTAAATGAGAATAGTCTATAACTGAGTTCTCTGTCATTTCAGAATGCTGAAGCTTGGAACAACTTATCAACTTCCTATATCCGATTAAAACAAAAGTAAGTACATCAAACAAATATGAAGAACTCAGTTTCCAAAATGAACAAGATTTTCTTCCACTGAACTTAGTGCCTTTATTCCTTTTCCCCTTGCCCATCCATACCTTTGAGTTAGGATGACTTACTATAGCCATTTGAATTCTAAATGTAATTTATTTTTTGAAAACATTTACTGTGTAATAAAATAAGAACTATTACTTGGAATCTTTATTTGATACTGAAGTTTTGCATCCTAAATTCCATTATACGATGAGAGCATGCATGCCTTTAGTTGGTCAACTCAGTTGATAGATTCTTACTGATTGCTTGCTTGCTGTGTACAAGGTATTACTGAGAAATATAAATATAAACCAATGTCTTCAGGAATTGTAGATTTAAAAAATAAAATATCAGGCTGTATTATTTTAAAAATTGATCAGCATTAGAAGTAGTATGTGGTAAATATCAAGTGGGAAATCCAAGGAGAGCTATAATAACAGTAGGTGATATTTGTAGAACACTCATTCTATGCCAGACACTCTGTGTGGGTCTCAGAAGAGAGAAGGATCATGGTCCTGATTCAGGAATGCTTCTTTTTTTTTTTTTATTATGTTATGTTAATCACCATACATTACATCATTAGTTTTTGATGTAGTGTTCCATGATTCATTGTTTGCATATAACACCCAGTGCTTCTGACAGAATGCTGGACACAAGCTGAAATTGGAAGAATGGGTAGAGGGGACAGAGGAAGGCCTCTCTAGCGAGGGGAATGTGATCATATGCAGAGCAAGTAAACTACACCAGCTATAGATTATAGTGAGGTCTGTAGGAAGAGAGAAGGTTGGAGTCAAATTGCAGTGTGTTCTGATGATCTGACTAACAAGTTGAGACTATCCTGTTGGCAGTGAGATGCCTGCACTTTCAGTAGGGGCAATTTCATGAAGAAAGAAGCTTTTGGGGAAGATTTATCTGGTGGCAGTGTGAGACAGACTGGAGAGGAAACTGGGGGCTGGGAACCCAGTCAGGAGACAGCTGTTGTAACAGTCCAGGCAGGAGATAACTAGCCTGGAAAAAAAAGGGCACATGCCAATTTATAAAGGGGACAACCAACTGGCCTTATTGACTGGCCATAGAAAGCCAAGGAAAGGAAAGGGAAGAGACAAGGATTGCTATTGCCAGAGTTTTAGCAAATGAAGGAAAGGATGGATCTGTTTCCATTTTCATTTGGCCTTATTTTCAAGCCTAATTTAATTTTTCTTTGTGGATTCACAAGATACTTCTGAAGATATCATTAAATCCACATTACATTGAAATACTTCTGCTGCTCTTGGATGACAAACTACATAAAGAAAGTACTGTTTTTTCTACTGTGTGCTTTGGAAAATAATATTATGTTCTTGATTGCAACTGATTGTGTTAAAATTCCCTAGGGACCTTTTGGTTTAAAGCAAGGGGCAGGGGAAATCCCTGTCATAGTTATAGAGTGATCTCAGTGGGTTTTTCTGGTAACCCTGATAATTTTGTATGTAGTGAGGCTCTTGATACTCTACCTCGTTTTCCAGCCCATTAACCCTAAGAATTCCACTTTCTCTCGTAGGGGTCCTGCACATTGTTCAACTTCTATTTGGCGCTTTCTTGTCTTCCTGCCACTCCACAATTGGTTTTTGTGTAAAAGTGGGGTTGTAAGGTCAAAGGTGAATCGCTGCTTTATTCTTGCCCTTTTGCTCTTTCCTTTCTTTGCTGCTGTTCCAGTCATAGCTCATTTTTGACTCATGAGATTGTTACTTCAGGTATAAATTATGACCACTCCTCTCAAAAGAATCCATGCCTAAAAGGTACCCTTTAAACCATCTCGTCCGTCCCTTTGCTCTCCTGGGGTTCTTCACTAACATACCTTCTTTGCTGTTTCATCTGATTCCCCAGGCATCACACCCCTGCCAGTCCTTTGGGAAAATCTCCCATCTTTCTCTGAAACTTTCATAGCAGTGTCACAACCATTGTGGGCTCGATAAGTGAATCCTGAACTGAAGATCCTTATGAAGAAGCCACACTTACGAAAAAAGATTCATAGAAAAAACTTTGAGGCCAGGAGATTGTGGGCAAAGGATGAGAGGATATGTAGGACAGAGGATAATCCTCTTGCCTGGGTTGCTGCCTGTCAAGTTCTTTTCCAGCAGGCCGACCTTACCCACCCCCATGCAGGTGGGAGAACTGCAGTCTCAGTCTACCACTGCTGAAGGCGGTCGCTATTATGTGGGAGGTGGGCGTAGGGAGTGGAACCAAGAAAGGGAAAAAGACACCACACACACACACACACACACACACACACACACACACTCCCAAAACAATTTAAGGCTGAATTTGAAGAAGGAAGGGTTACAGCAAGGGTACCTTCATTTTTAACTCTAAAAGGAAGGGATAAGTGAATCAGTACGTTCCATAACAACTTTAGGCAAATTGTTTAATGTAGAGAATAAAAAATTAAACTGCAGTGAATTGGCTGCTAATGAGAAGACAAAAAGGACTTCATTATAAGGACGTTATTGTGATTGGTACCATAGGTATATTAGAAATTGATTAAATCCTTCAGGGAGTAATTCTCAGAGCAGCGGCCTGGGATGACCAGAAGAATCTCCATTATCCCCTCCAAAATTTGCCTTAAAAGTCATGGAGGAGGAGATGCCTTGCTGTAACATGGTGGGGCTCGGCAAGGAAACGGAGGTAGACCTTGTAGTCGTAAATTAACAAACTCAAAATGGCTTTGGAAAAGGAGATTGATAGCATACACTTGAAGAAGGTTACTGTAATTGTCCAGTAAAATATTTATGATCCATAAAGGAACTATAGTCTTATCCAGACAGGGGAGGAAAGCATTAAGCATCTTTTTGTTTGCTGAGATTTTTAACTTATAGAAAAGGTGACATGAAGTTCTGTTGATTTCCTTGTCAGTATCAAATTTTAGTAGTCTTTTTCTCTTTTCTGAAGTGGCTTGTATAAGACAAAGATTCCTTGATGGTTTGGTATACCTTTTCTGTAAAACTGCCTAGCTTTGTTTTAATTTTAATTGATTTATTTGGCTATTTCTTTAGGTCATTTGTATAATTTATTCATAGCATTCTCTTATGATTTTTTTTCCAAAAAATTACTAGTCTTATTTGTGCCATTTTCTTTTATTCTAAATGGAATTTAGTTACACATTTGTCTGTTTCATTTTTTTTTCCCAAAAGCTAGCTTTTGGTTTTGTTAATCATTTAGCTTTCTTTATATTTATTAGTTTCTTCTTTCTTGTTTATTTGGTGTTTTTCTACAATGTTAAGTTAAATGTTTTCACTGATTGTCATTTTTTTGTAATAAGTGCATTTAAGATCACAAATTTCCCTCTAAAAATACTGCTTCAGCTATATCCTGCAGATGGTGATATATAGTATTTTCATTAAGTTCTAAATATTTTTTATTTTCTAATATGAGTCTCCTTGTTCCCTCACTATGGTTTCTTTTTTCTTTTTTTTTTTTTTAGGAGTGCATCTTTAAGTTTCCAGGCATATAATTTTTTAGCTATTTACTGTTGATTTCTTATTTAATTTCAGAGAATATGTCTGTTATACTTTTTTTACACAAACGACTGGTAATTTTTGTTCTCAATAATTAGTTAAATGTAATGACATATTTCATCAATTTCTGTTCTCACTGTTGATCATTTATTGTATCCCTTTCTTTCTGTCTGAATTCCCTTTTATTTTTGCAAGAGAGGGTCTCTCAGTAGTTCTTTTGTTTGGGCCAGTAGATGATAAACTTTCTTAGTCTTTGTACATCTCAAAGTGTTTGACTTTGCATTTACTCTTGAATGGTAAGTTTAGCTGGTTATAATATTTTAGGCATGACAATTATTTTCATACAGTGCTTTACACGTACTATTCTGTTGTCTTCTACATCTTTTGTTACTAATGAAATATCTGCTGTTCTCATTGTCATTCTTTTGTAGGTTTTAGGATTATCTTTATGTTTTGCAATTTCATACAATATACCTAGGTGGTTGGTTATCTTTACTTATAATGTTGGGTACAAAAATATACTTTTGATCATAGAATTAGATCTTTGTTGTCAGTTGTGGGAAATGCTCAGCTTTATCTTTTCAAATACCTTGTCCTGACATTTTCTGCATCTGTTTACTGTGGCATGTCTATCAAATGTATGTTTGAACCTTACCTCTCATACTTTCCTCTCTTTATTGCTCTTTTATTTTTTAATCTGAATTCCTTGTGGATTCCTCACTATTGCTTTCTAGTTAATCAGTTCTCTCCTTGTGTGCAGTCTAGTTTTTTGTCACCTATTGAGGTTTTGTTTGTTTGTTTGTTTAAGTGTCTCTTTTAATTCCAAAATTTCCAGTTGGTTTTTTATTTACATCTCCCTGTCCTTGTTTCATTTCTACCTGTTTTTGTTGTGCAATTTCTTGCTCCTTTAAAATTTTTATTTTATTTATTTATTTATTTATTTTTAATTTAAGTTCAATTAATTAACTTACAGTGTATTATAAGTTTCAGAGGTAGAGTTCAGTGATTCATCAGTCTCATATAAGCTCCTTTTAAATTTTAAAAAATTTTGTAGGGAGATTTGAAGTGATCTGGGGTTGTTTGGGTCTCAGATTCTATTTATTAACATGAATGACTAAGGACTGACAGGAAGTTCACATTAGCATTTTATACCTGAAGCTATGGTTTCTTTAGCTATGATTATTCATTATTATTCTCTTTAAAATCTGACCTTCAATAGAGTAAAAGCTTTTAGAACTTTACAAGAAGCCCTTAAGTGCAACTATGAACACTGGCAGATCTGGGAAAACTACATTCTCACTAGCACTGATGTTGGGGAATTTTCAGAAGCCATTAAAGCCTATCACAGACTCTTGGACTTACGAGACAAATACAAAGATGTTCAGGTAAGATATTCATATTTTGTTTTTTCAACTTGTGATTGATGTTAATGCTTGATTATATGATTGTGATATTGACTAAATATGCATTTGGTTTTGATTCTGGTTTCTGGCACAGGGCTCCAAAAACCTTTGGAATTTCCTAAGCGAAGACAGCCATAAAGGTGTCTTTTGTTGTGTTAATGAGGTGACTTTTGGAAAGCACCTAAGGATGGGGATGGTTGCCAGGGTGTCAACCATGCGATTAGAGGGTTGGAACTTTCATTCCCATAACCTCCACTCCTCTCCCCTCACGACCTCCTGGGAGAGGAGAGGGTATGGAGATTGAACTCCATCACCAATGTGGCCAGTGATTTAATCAGTCATGTCTATGTAATTGAGCTTGCATAAAAACCCAACAGGATAGGGTTCGAAGAGCATCTGGGTTGGTGAACACGTGGAGATGCAAGGAGAATGGTACACCCCGAGAGAGCGTGGAAGCACTGTGCCCTTTCCCACATACTTTGCCTTATGCACCTCTTCCATCTGGCTGTTCCTGAGTTACATCTTTTTATAATAAACCAGTAATCTAGTAAGCGAAATGTTTCTTGGAGTTCTGTGAACTTACTGCTCTAGCAAATTAATCAAACCCAAAGGGTGGGGTTTGGAACCTCCAATCTATAAAGCACAGGTGACAACCTGGACTTGTGACTGGCTCTGGAGTCGGGAGGAGGAAGGATTGACACTCTTATAGGACTGAGACCTCCGTCTGTGGGATCCAATGCTATCTGTAGGTAAATAGTGTCAGAATTGAGTTGGTAGTGTGGGGAACCCCCCAACCCTGCACGCGTGTGTGTACATGCACATGCACGCACACACACAGGTCAGAATTGGTGACCAGAATCACCTGAGTGATACAGATTTTTCCTTGACTACACACAGGAAAATTTTGTTAAACACATGTGATATGTAAAACGAGCAGTTTTTTTCTCGAGTTGAATATTCTTCATTAAATATTCTGGCATTCCAATGTCAAATATGTTTGTGCAGTTATAGACTGAATGTTATTGTGACTCAGTTAAGAATATTTGATATGTGGTTTACGTACATACAGTCAGCTTGCAGAAATGAAATAGAATGATGTTTGTGTGATTTATTGCTTTGGTTATCTCAATGTAATAGCTGGAGTAAGTCCCATACTCATTTATTCACTCATTGAACAAGCATTTACTGCATACTTTCAGATGTTTTGAACAATATAGAAATGAAGACTAACATTTTCTTTGCAGTGTTTAGTGAAATGGTCCTCTTGGTAAGGTGAAGTCAGAATGGTTAAGTCTAACACTGTACAAAAAATATTAGATCCTTTCAGAAAACACAGGAGACTTGAAGCCATTGTGTTTGTCATCTTGTGGTTGAACTGTGGTTGAAGATTGTACAAGGACAAGGCTGTGCAGAAGCCTATGGGTTACAAAGTCAGGGGACTTGAAAATATAACACTTTATTTGCATTAATCAGCACGTGCTATTTAAAATGATGCAGTTGAAATTATGAAAAAACAAAAATAACATCTAATATATGATAATACCTTACTATTTTTATGTCCTATTGTCTGTACTCCAGTTACTCCAAAATTTACCTTATTTGGGCCCTGTCATACAGCGCCAGCCCTCAACCTGGATGCGTGGTCTTGCAAGCTCAGCCATATGACTGGCCACGTTACTTCAAGGCTCAGGTTCTGGGCCATTCACTTGAAAGAACTTTGGCTTCAAGTAGAAAGATATACCTACTTCCAGGACATATGTTGACCTCTTCGAATCAGCTTTCTTTTTCTTTTACTCTTCTTTCCTTTCTAAATATTATACACTGACCTTCCATTATGGAAAGAAGGGACTTGAATTCTATAGCATAAAGATCAATTAAAACGTGAATGGAGGCATAGCTGAATTTTACATCCTAGAGAGGATAGGAGCCCTAGCAAATCTATTTGCATGGTTTCCTGCCAGTCCTGTAAACAGAGCTGAAATTCTCTGTGGAGGCAGTTCTTCTCTTCTACACTTCGCCTTTGGACAGAGGGTACCAATGAGGCTTTGAACAGATCTTGGTATGTTACCAAACCACTGAGGATAGGGCAGAGATTCCAAAGTGCTTACCTCCTGTTTACTTCAACTGTAATTTTTAAAAAAGATCCTTCTTTACTAGAAAGCATTCTGAAGCCCGTTCCTAAAGTCTCAGAGAGAATGTAAATAGTTTACATTGGGAGTTTATTCCATTTTATACTTGAAATAAATTCTGGGTTCTTTTTCTTTCACATTTTAAAAATGTGCGCAAAACATTCAAATCCAACACTCCTCATTTAGACACCACCGCTGGCTCAAAGCCAGCACTCTTTAGAATTGCAAACCGGCAGAGTAGACTCCTAGAGGAGTCCTGTAGGCTTGGCTGAAGAAACCACACATGCATCAGAAGGGAGTGTGAAGCCCCCCTCGTGCCTCATAAGACCAGAAGGGTTGATTCTCCCAAGTTGTTGCCCTGCTGGTGTTGCTGCTGGAGATGTCTTGTCTGCCCGAGGTGTCTTAGAATTGACTCCTTGGTCAGTCTGATCCCATTAATCTTCTATCGTGTGTCCCCGGTTTCTAACTGATCTGCTTTTCTTTTGATGCGAGTGGGAGTTCTCCTCCGAATCCAAATTTTAACTCACAGCAATCCTTCAGACCTGCTAAGGATTAGTAATAATTGACTTACCGGATTGGCTTTTTGGATTTTCCTGAGAAAATCCTGATCATCCTTCTATGCTTGGCACCCTTGGAGTTGGTTTTATATAAGGAACCCAGCTGGCTGGGTCTAGGCCCCTCTTCCCTGAGAGATGGACTTGGGTGGTTATGGTACATGAGCATCAAAGGGGGCGTCTTTTCTGTTTTATCTCTCACTTATTCTCCTGTGCTTCTCAAGGCCCATAAACCAAGTCAAAGTGGGACGTGGTAGAGTCATCATAACTAACATTTATTCAGGGCTTGCTGTGTGCCAGACACTATTCTAAGCACTTGACGTGGATTAACTCAGTTCTCACCATGGCTCTGTGGGATAGATTTGGACATTCATAAGCTATGTTGGACTCTGGAACATATGTATGTATCTTCCCCTGCGTTTTAAGGAAACTAATGCTATCAAACAAAATAACTGTTCAAAGATTATTCTGAAAAGCTGTTGCTTCCACATGAATAAAGAGTTATAAAATCATCAAGATATTGCTGATTTCAGTTGACTTAGGGGTATCAAGTATGCCAAATCATCCAACTATCTTGTACCCGAGAGGCCTGTATTCCAAAAGAAAGGCAAGACAAAATGAAACAGTTGCTTTACTGAAGATAATGATTTAGAGTAAAATAGGTTCAGCCTGGATCATTCCAGTCTCTTGTAATTAAATTAGCTGGAAATGTATTGAGAATCTTAAGTTTTTCTTCTGTCCTACTGTTCTCCCACCACTCCCAGCTTAGGAGTCTCCTTCTCTCTCAGGATGGAAAAAAAATTCTTGCACATGTCTAGAATAATACTGCTGTATTTGAGTATCTGTAAGTGTATGGGGAGAGAGGTGATATTTAGAATAATGGTAGTCAGAGTGACAGATACCAAGGAGAAAACGCTGGCAAAAATAACCTGTTTTTAGTTGACTCTAAAGATGAAATTTTCAGTTGTTGATTTGGCACGTTGTATACTGAATCCAGTTCATTGGAATTGTAGGAACACAGGCTTAGAAATCTTTCAGTAGCCTTCCCTGAGAAAGAATAAAGAGACTCACACAATAGTTTTTATTCTAGGGAATTCTAGGCAATTCTCAGTCACTACAATTCATTTTGAAGTAAAAATGTGTTTTTCTTAAGTTTTTAATGAAGAACTAAAGAGGAAGCAAAGCTTAATTAATGTAAAGAATGATTCTATAAAAAAGGATTACTTTTTTCTTTCAATTTATCCAACCTTAATTCTGAATGCATAGAGATGCATTTTGAGCATTTTTCAGAAAAGGAAAAAAAATGGTCTTAAAAAAATCCCCAAAACTTCTCCAGACATGAATTGAGATGCTTTGATTGAACTTTTATCTTAGATTTTTCAAACCTCTTTTGGTGTTCATGGAGCTTTTCACTCCTTCCAGCAAATCTAGTCATGAGGAATTTCTACCCATGGAAAAATCATGGTCTGATTCCCATTTAAAATTCTAATCCTGAACTTAAGTGACAATTTTTTGATTTTCTAGAGAAAATTATTAGGATTTAGTTTAAATTTATGGCCAGCTAAACAACAAGTGTTGGCAAGGATTCAGAGAAAAAGGAACCCTCGTGCACAGTTGGTGGGAATGCAAGCTGGTGCAGCCACTCTGGAAAACAGTATGGAGGTTCCTCAAAAAGTTAAAAATAGAACTACCCTGTGATCCAGTATTTGCACTACTGGGTATGTACCCTAAGAATACAAAAACACTGATTCAAAGGGATAGATGCAGCAATGTTTATTGCAGCATTATTTACAATAGCCAAATTAGGGAAGCAACCCAAGTGCCCATCGATAGATGAATGGATAAAAAAGATGTGCGCGTGTGCACACACACACACTGGAATACTATTCAACCGTAAAAAAGAATGAAATCTTGCCATTTGCAAAAACATGGGTGGAACTAGAGAATATAATGCCAAGTGAAATAAGCCAGTCAGAGAAAGACAAATACCATATCATTTCACTCCTGTGTGGAATTTAGGAAACAAAACAAATGAACAAAGAGAAAAAACGGGACAAACCAAAAAACAGCCTCTTAACTATAGAGAACAAACTGATGGTCACCAAAGGGAAGGTGGGTGGGGGATAGGTGAAACAGAGGAAGGGGATTAAGAGTACACTTACCGTGATGAGCACTGTAATATGTGGAGCCGTTGAACCCCTGTAATGTACACCTGAAGCTGTGTAACCTTGTGTTTTAACTACACTGGAATGAAAATAAGTTTTAGACAGTTTTTGGCTAGCTAGTATTTTAACCTAGT